GTCAGTGGCATGAAAGAGTTCATATTAGATGTGAAGCCACTCAATTCATCTAATCACAAATTGTTTACAGAGTTCTGGGAGACTTTATTTAAATGTAAGTTCAAACAGTCAAACTCATCAGGAGAGAATCAGAGAGAATGTACTGGACATGAAGATCTGACTGGAGTGCAAAACAGTTTCACTGATATGTCACTCATGCCTATATTTTACAATATCTATAAAGGAGTGTATGCTGTGGCACATGCACTTCATAATATTCTTGAATGTAATGAAACATGTAACTACAAGGTGCAGCTAGATCCACTCACGGTGAGTTCATTAAAACAGTTGTATTTGGTACAATAAAATTGCCAAAATTTTGAATAATAAATTGGTGCAGTGTGTCTATCATGCTGTTTAGCCGACAGGCCTACACACTATTTGTCTTGTATGCGCTTTCATACAAATCGATGCAAACTCAAAGTGCTTTACACCTTTTTCCCATTCATGCACAAATTACCCAGACAAAATGTTCTACCTCCTGAGCCACAGCCACCCCAATTAACTAAATTTAAATAAATCTTTTTAGATTTTACAGCACATAAGAAAGATTCATTTCAAAACCAAGGAAGGAGATGAGGTTTACTTTAATGAGAATGGAGACCCAACAGCAAAGTATGAAATTATAAACTGGCAGCCAACAGAAAATGGCATTGTGGACTTTGTCACAGTTGGTCTTTATGATGCATCTTTACCTGCAGACAAACAGCTGAGTCTGCAACTTGAGTCTTTTATTTGGGCACAAAACTCAAAACAGGTAAACTACCATGTAATCACTGTATTTTATTTAATAAGTATTATTACTGTACCTGTATTATTGTTACTGTATCATAATGTTTGGTTTAAAAGTTAACAACAAAGGTTTGCAAAGATAAAACCTTAAAAAAGTCAGTGCTCATACATGTTTCTCAGTGTAATTTTGTCCATGCAGGTTCCTGTGTCAGTTTGCAGTGAGAAATGTCCCCCAGGAACTCGCAAAGTTCTCCAGAAAGGAAAACCTGTCTGCTGCTATGACTGTATCAGATGTGCGGAGGGAGAAATAAGCAACATGACAGGTCTATAAAAATTCAACATTTGGCACTTCATTGTGCCACAATACAAAATTCTTAAAGCAGTCATGTTTATATGGCAGTTTTTATAAATACGTGCCCATGTGCATGTCAAGGTTAAAGCCCCAGTGTGGAAAAAATATGCAACTCTAATGTAATCTAAATATTCCAGTCACACTTTTTATAGAACAGTAACAAAGTCCTGGGGAAGCTGGGGCAGAATGTGTTGTGTTCAGCCATTTTGTGCTAAGGCCATGTTGAGTCACATCCATGCTTTTTCAGCTACAGTGTATTATATGTTGCAACTTGTGAGTTACAATGTCAGAAATTATAATGACTTCCTACATTAATATGAAAGCTAATAATATTAAGACAACTAACCTATATACAAAGCTATGAAAATATTTTATATTTAATTTTTGTCATGTAGGTGTCACAGAGTTAGCCATTTATTAAGTTATAACCCTGTAATGTTTGTCTTATATACACAGGTGAAAAACAGAAAATAAATATAAATCTATTGAGTAAGTTTCCCATCTGCATTAATATCATTTTTCAGATTCTATCACCTGTGAGCGATGCCACCCTGAGTCGTGGTCCAATGAGAGAAGAGATCCCTGTGTAAAGAAGGAGGCAGAGTTTCTATCACATAAAGAAATTATGGGAGTACTGCTCACTGCAGCAGCCTTATTTGGAACATGCATGACTGCTGTTGTGGCAGGGGGGT